GGATGAGCTACTTATGTGAATTTTGGAAACGGCAACAGTGATTGACGAACAATGACGCCATTTCCAGTTTCAGTGGTCTTCCCATCCCGGCCCGCTGTTTTGCAGGTCAGGTTGGGTAACTGCCGAAGTAACTTCTCTTGCTTTGGCTTGGTAGTATTCCGCCCATTGTTCTTGCAACTCCCGTTCAAAAAAGATTTCAGTGGTAATCTACTTATAGGACGTTTGTAAAAAAAGAGAACACCCGAAGGTTTCCAATCACTACCGTTCGTGATACGTTTACAAGTTGGTCAAAGATCTGCACAAATCTCAAATGTAGGCTGCCCATATACTCATCAAGGACGATATATTCCTTCACTTGCCCATACTTGGGAAGTTATGTTGAACGAACGATAACCAGTGAAACTGCGGTCCATCTTACTGATTCCAGGCAGACAACAATGCATTTAAACCCATCTACGAGGTGCCCCAAAACAAGTCGAATCACTGCAGAAGCAGTCACAATGAAAATCTCGATCTACCACAACGCAAACAGAACACAATGGTTGACGCACTCCAGTGAATTTTGCTCCTCTCCGGCTAACATAACGAGTCAAACTGTGACCTCGACCAAGTCGTGATAATGCAACATGGCGTGATACGTCGCTCAAGATTAAAGGAGACCGTATGTGGGCTATGGAGAGATTTGTGATGACCAGCAAAAAAACTGGGCAGCTGTTTCATCCAGTTTAGGACTGGTCAGCATTGGTCCTTTCAGGACTCGAACCTCGAATATTCGGATCTAGACGTACGCACGGTTGATAGCCATCACGTTGTCGGTCATTACAAATCTTTCCATCGCTTATGAACGAATTTCACTAGTGAGGAGTTAACTGCCTCCCAAAAAGTGAAACCCATACACAAGACCATAAATAGTGTCTGGTGCCAGTGAAAAGTAACTGGATTATTCCGAAGTTACTACTCTTAAAGAACACGCTACATTGCCAGAATTGACCTTGATTCCTCTCTCTTTCTCCGTGTGCTTCCACTGTTAATCACTGTTAATCCACTGCTAATCAATCGGGACCACTATATTTGACGGCCTTGAGTACCCTCAAGACGTGGAGAACCACGTCCGGAGAGGTAGGATTCATTGCTTAATGGATTGGAGCAGGAAGTGGGAGGGAGCTTGAGACAGGCACATAAGAGAGTTGTTTGTTAAGCACCTCAACGTTGAAATAAAAACTGATGCGTGAACTACAGAGTCCACATCTCACGACAGCTTTTATTATTCGAAATAGTCTCAACGTCCGGGAGGGTTTATTTCAGCTCTAATCAGCACAGACCGCTCTTTTACACTGTAACGGTTGCCGGTCATGTAAGCCGTCTCTTCAGCACGACAGAGTCCTTTAAATAGGGACGAGGAAAGCCTATAGGTTCGAATGTAAATGGTTTCGATAAAGCAACATTGGTCATAGTGTGATGGAAGGCAGTACAAAGGGAGTCCCGGTTCGCGACCGAATCAATAATGGGGCTCATCCGACCAGACGCGCAGACGCAGCTGC